GACAGTGAACACCCCGAAACACCCCCCTCCCTCCCCCGGCTTACCACTTTAACCTGTGATGAAAAATGTGAAATATGTGAAGTGGTGAAGACAGTGAACACCCCGAAACCACACCCCCCTCCCCCGGCTTGCCACTTGTAACTGTGATGGAAAACATGAAATACGTGTAGTGGGGAACAAAGTGAACATAGTGAAGATTCTGAAACGCCCCCCCCCAACCTGTGATGGAAGATGTGAAATATGTTAAGTGGTGAATAAAGTGAACACATTAAAACAACCCCCTCGTCCCCCGGCTTGCCGCTTAAACCTCTGATGAAAAACACGAAATATGTGAAGCGGTGAAGACAGTGAACACCCTGAAACACCCCCCCCCTCCACCGGCTTGCCACTTAAACCTCTGATGAAAAACGTGAAATACGTGAAGTGGTGAAGACAGTGAACACGCTGAAACGACCCCCCCCCTCCCTCGGCTTGCCACTTATACCTCCGATGAAAAACGTGAAATACGTGAAATGGTGAAGACAGTGAACACTCTGAAACGCCCCCCCCCCAACCTGTGATGAAAGATGCGAAACATGTGAAGTGGTGAATACAGTGAACACACTGAAACAACTCACCCCCTCCCCCAACTTGCCACTTAAACCTCTGATAAAAAACGTGAAATATTTGAAGTGGTGAAGACAGTGAACACCCTGAAACAACTGCCCCCTCCCCCGGCTTGCCACTCAAACCTCTGATGAAAAACGTGAAATACGTGAAGTGGTGAAGACAGTGAACACCCTGAAACGACCCCCCTTTCCCAGCTTCCCACTTATACCTCTGATGAAAAACGTGAAATACGTGAAGTGGTGAAGAGAGTGAACACCTTGAAACGCCCCCCCCCCAACCTGTGAGAAAAGATGTAAAATACGTAATGTGGTGAATACAGTGAACACCATGAAACAACCCCCCCCCTCCCCCGGCTTGCCACTTAAACCTCTAATGAAAAACGTGAAATATATGAAGTGGTTAAAAAAGTGAACACCCTGAAACAACCCCCCCCCTCCCCGACTTGCCATTTAAACGTGAAATACGTGAAGTGGTGAAGACAGTGAACACCCTGAAACGACCCCCCCCCTCCCCCGGCTTGCCACTTATATCTCTGAT